ATAACTGTACTAAACTTTGTTGTACAATACTGTAACTGTACTTACATTTTTACTATAGCAACACATGTTTCACGAAGTATTTTCACTATAACATCATATGTATTTTGCTATAAATGTATACATATTTCATTGTAGTATTATATAAATTTTTCTGAAAATATATATATATCTTCTTAAATATAACTATTTGTCAAGTTCTTACAATAAGAACAAATTTACCTAAGAAATAATTGTCAATTATATATACTTGTGTATTAGAACTGTGTGAAACTAACATGAACATTCAAATTAAAATGGTCAAATAAGAATAAGAAATGAACATTCAAAACCAACAACAAAATATATCTAAACTGAGAACATAATAATCCATCAATAAAATACATCCACACAGTAACACAGATGAATCTAGATTGTTCTTGAATACTCTAAAACTACATTGACTTCCTAAAAGATCTTTGAAACTGGATTGACTTCCTAAAAGATCTTTGAAATTGCCTTCCTAAAATATCTTTGAAAATATCTCTCTTAACACTTTCTTACTGATTTCCAGCTTTGGGCCATCCATACTTGTACCATCTCTCTTCAAAGGAGTAAGACTCAGAATTCAAGTCAACACTTAAACAGTGATCATCATCGTCATCATTTGACTCTTCAAACTTTAGTGAGGAAATCATGTAGAATTATTTATACACCTCTGCAATGCCAACGCAGGTGGCATGCATCATTCTACAGTCTTAGATGCCACATCTTATGACATTAATAGACTATGTATATAAGTTCATGACATTAATATCTAAAAAGAAAAAAAAGTACAAAGCATTACCGCGGACATCAACACCAGATCTTTAAACTTTTGCATTGTTATCATCTAAACAGATTGTTTTAACATGAAATGATTGTTCAAAAAAATAAAATTCAGTTACTGGATATTGATTACAAAATCTGAAATATAATATAAATAAGACATAGTACTGTAAAATACTTAGCAAATGATGTACTTTATCATTATTAGCTTTAAAAATCTCAGCAAAAGATTTTTTTTTAGCAATGTAGATGCATCTCTATCCAATAGAACAAAAGTTGTTGGATTTGTTTCATCCATGAGGCTAACCTTGATTTTATATTTGAATGTTATGGAATGAAGATGTTTTAAAATTTTTGGAATGAAATGTAACGTAACGAAAATAGCACATAACACAAGAAAAAAAAATTGGGTAGTAAATATAAATTCTACCTTGGAGTAATCCTAGAATCTTGATGTACGACTTTGTTACAAACACATGCAATGCACCACAATCGTCATCAACAATATGCTTGATTGAAACCAAGACAACAAAAATTGGATTCCTTATCAAAAAGAAAAAATAAACAACCTCATCAAATTTAGTCATCAAAGTAAGCAAATATATAGCATAAGTAATAGCATATTAATGAAGTAATATACACATTGACCTTTGGAACTCCAATAACACCTATGAAGACTAAAATGTAGAATTCAAGGTGAAGTATGTAGTTGGAATCTGAAAAACATATACATACCAACTAGTCATTGTCAAATGTAGGAGCAATAACCACAAAAAAGGGATGTATTTTTGGCCTTTGGAACTAATTCAGTATCAACTAAAAAAACCTTTGTTTTGAATTGAAAGTTAATCTTGTAACTATGATGACTAGTTCTATAAGAACCTCCATTACATGCAACACTAAAACACTGAATACAATAAACTTGTCTTTCGAAAGGTGAGAGATTGAAATTTGTAAATTAGTGTCTTGCTAATTGAGCCATGAAATTCACATTTCCATTTTCAATATCACAAGTCATAAATCATATAGAAAGTTCTAACAAATTTATATTGATCATGAATGGTGTATTTTACCTTCTTATCTTGTACTATCATCTCTAACGAGAAAGGAGACTTATGCCTAGTGAAAATCAAAGATGAACCACATCCTCAATACCCTTGCAATTATGTTCAAGTTTTCTTTTAGCCTGATTTCATTCAACAAATGAACTGACTTCTACATATTCATCTCTGTATTTGTTCTAAATACTGTGAATACAAAGATAAACCGGAAACAATACATTAAAATAAGAAATAAACTTAAGAAACGAATTCAAATAATTAACACAGATAAACTGCAAACAAAAATATATAAATGCGAAAATATGTATAAAGGAATAAAGGAATTTTGAATTTAGTTGCCAAAATTTAAATTCCCCAATCCCGAAATCCATAATTAAGACATTGAAACAAAATCCCTAATAATCACTAATAATCGAAGATGATGACATAAAAAATGCAAAGCAAAATAGATACAACTTTCACTAAAAAAAACGTTTACAGAGCATTGAACAATGTTTCAAGCATTCAAAAAAAGAGATTACCAAAAATGAGAAAAAAAAAGGGGATTTGTATTCCTGAAGGATTACGATTGCACGATATTTTTATAGTGAACATTTAATGCAATAAAGAAAGTCTAAAGTAAAGAACAAAAAGACAAAAACTCGAAATTGGAAATAGGTTTTAGAGTGAGAAATAAGAAATTAGAAAAGGAAACTTCAATAAAAGCAAAAGACAAACCATTTCCACAATGGTGTATGTGGACCGTTTCAAAGCACATAAGAGATAAAGAATAACAAAGAATGCCTATTGTAAGTGTAATTGGAAAGAAAATATCAAAGAGAAAAATAACAAAATAATATAATAAAGTAATGATGACATGCCATTTTATGGAAAAATGATTAACATGTTGAAGATCCAGAGTAATATTAATATGAAGGTGCAGTTCTCATTGACAAAGAATAGAACTTATGCGATGTAGCAATGGAAGAGTCACGTGGTGAATGGTGGAGATGCCATTTGTCTCATCTTTAAGCATTTCTAAGCTTCCATAATTGCTCCAACTTTCCCAATTTTTTCCAGCTTTAACTTAACAAAATTAATATTCTTTTGTTTTATTTTTTTTAAAGGTTAAAATTGCTATTTTTGATAAAATCACTAAATTATTCAAAAATGATATTTTTGATATACAATTTTTTTTATTTTCTTAAAAAAAAATACAAAAGATTACTTTTTCATAAACATTTTATTCATTTAACATTTTCCATCTTTATTTTTTATTTTTTTAAAATATATACAAATTACTCTTTCATAACCATTTATCTTATTATAATATTGTCAAATTAATCACCCTAACATAAATTAACACAACCACTTCTTATTTGACATTTTCTGAATTAATTTATTTTAAATTTTTTTGGAAATAACCTTCTGTTATTTATTAATACTCTAAACTATTTTCATAATTTTATTTAAAATTTATTCTTTTAAAAATAACTTTTATGTTAAATTGTTCTTTCACATAAATTTTCTCCTTTATTTATTCTCAGTATTTTTTCGTGGGTTAAATATGTTTTTCGTCCCTTAAGTATCACACGATTTTGGTTTTAGTCCCTACTCAAAACTTTGAAGGTTTTTAGTCCTCGTAGTTTTGAAACTCTTAATATTAGTCCTTAAAAATGGATGGCGTTAAGTTTTAGTAGATGTGGCAAACGGCGAGACCAGGTTTGATGCCAGCTGTCGTGCCACGTTGATTGTTTCATTTTCCAAGTTGAACCTAACTTCGTCCGCTACGGTGATCGAGAAGCTTCCCGTTTCTGCCCCTCGCCCTCCACGCCCACCAGCAGCACCGTGGCCAGGAAGGGTCTGCACCTTTTGATCCAATCACCTTTGTAGTTTACTAAAATTCTGCACCTTTTGAACCCCCCACCCCTCCTCCAAAAATAAAAAATCGCACCTTCCTAAAACCGTGGTCAAGTTATGATACCATTTTTTACAGAGGGGATCGCAACTTCCAAATTCCGGTGTCAAATTCTGATACCATTTTTTAAGTGAAGAGCAGTGTGAGCATTATTAACATATAGAAGCAGTTTCTCTAACCTTGTAACAGAACTAATGTGCATATGCACATGTAAACTGACTGAATCACCAAAATTAACCATTTGATTTTACATTTACTTTCTCTTTTAAGTTCACCCCACCACCATTTTTATTTATACTTTTTGAAAGAATTGGTCAATCCATTAAACACTGCAATGGTGAAGTTATCTCCTTGATAAAAAAAAGTCATCACATGAAAGAAACTAATTCTAAATAAAGACTATTGGAATTGAATATTCAATCAATCTTTGCAAATTTCGATCTTTGATGGAAAAGTGAGGCACCATTGACCCAGATTATGCACCCCAGCATCAGATAGCCAATATCGTAAACTATAAAACAGTGGCTAAAAGGGTGCTAGAAACTTGGTTACTCAATCATACAGAAATGAAGCCTGAACCTGTGACTGTGGACTTTGTTGAGTATGAAACGAAGAAGATGTAGGGTCCCTGGCCTTATCTTCAGCACGTGCCAATACATTGTGACGGAGCAAAGTGAGAATTGTACCCGTGAATCTGATTCTGCCAGAAGAAGAGCCAAAGAAGGGTGAAGGTTCAACAGTGCATAGACCATGGAGGGGAAGTTTGGCCACGGTGCTGCTAGAGGGCGTGGAGGACAGAAACATGAAGCTTCTAGGTCGCGGTAGAGGACGAAGTTAAGTTTAACTTGGAAAATAAAACAATTAACGTGGCACGACAGCTGGCATCAAATCTCACCTCGCCGTTTGCCACATCTACTAAAACTTAACGTCATTCATTTTTAAGGACTAATACTAAGAGTTTCAAAACTACGAGAACTAAAAACCATCAAAGTTTTGAGTAGGAACTAAAACCAAAATAGTGTGATATTTAAGGGACAAAAAACATATTTAAACATTTTTTCGTCTATTCTTCTTCTTGCTTTGAATCCAAGAAAAAGAGAAACCTAAAGAAGATAACTTGGGAGAGTGCGAGATAATAAAGAAGGAATCTGAATATAAGCAGCGTTTTAGTAATATGAAACGATGCATGAGATGGTCGTGTACCTCGTGAAGATTTCTCAGAGCTGCTTATTCTTTCGTAAAATCACAACATTCGCACAATTATGGTTCTTGTTCTTGAGGAAAAACAATTCCTTTTACACCTAAATGTTCTTAATACTTCGGTTTAGTGCATCCACTCTTGAAGTTTCGGCAGCAATGGATGCTTTACAAACTAGTGCTGAGAGCTATCATGAGCAACCTCAGTGGCGCAAAAAGGAAACCCAGATTGAAATTTGCTTTTCATCATCACGTGCCACGTGGCGCGTGGATTACACATGCTTAGGAGAGCGAATGCGCCTATCAAACCGCACAAAACTCGCGACGATATTTCCGATTGTTGTTTTGATTGTTCTTCTCAAATTGTGTTAGGACTCCGTAGTTTTGCACTCTTCCTAACAATCGTTGCGGTGTTTTGTCGATTAATTTTCCTGGAATGTTGTCCTGTCTTTTGGTTTCTGAGTTTTGGGTCGTTTAATCCAGAGTTGATTTTGGTGTTCCTTGAAGAAGTTTCAGAAAAGAGAGGGGGGAAGAAATATGATGAATTCTTATTCTTCTTCTTCAGCTACTGTCGCAGTGGAGAAGGCGACCAGCGATCTTCTTGTGAGCCCTGATTGGACCATGAACATCGAAATTTGTGATTCCATCGATTCTAATCATTGGTAATCTTCAACTACAAGAAAATGGAGGAAGATAGATAACATATCAATTTAGACATTATGTTTTATTTTATTTTATTTTGGAGGCGTTGACTTTGACCAACTACCACATGTTTAAGCATTTTTAATACGATGTTCAATTTAATGTTTGTAGGTTCTGTCCTCGGATGTTGTCGTTGGTGATTGTAGTTAGTAATTTTTGGTGTGATGAAACTGACAGGAGCAGCATTGTATTATTTGGAAATTAGTGGAAAACTACTTGTTCTTCTTTTCATATTATATTAATTTTTTTGTTTTTTTTTATTTCAATTCTGTGATTTCTAATTTTCTTATGCATAAATATTGTTTCCAAAATTGAACAATTATTTTATGTCTAAGCATCCTCTCAGAAAAACCAGGCTCCATGTATGATAATACAAACTATACTTCTTTCTCATTTTCTTTTCACTCCTTTAATAGAGTAATCTCTGGGAAATTGACGCCTTTCTTTTAAGCTTTTACTAAATCTTCGATGAATACCACGTGCTTAATTTCTCAGGCAGCCAAAAGATGTTGTAAAAGCTGTAAAGAGGAGATTACAACATAGGAGCTCTAGAGTTCAATTACTAGCTCTCACGGTACTTTGTTGGCACTGGCTTTTGGTCTTATTTTTGGGTATTTGGCTCTAGTTGTTTGTGGATGTGTGCTCCTGGATTGCTTAACTTTCAAATTCATTTGTTTGGAGCTTGATTTGTGGTTTCTGGTTGTCTACCCCCAGCTGCTGGAGACAATGGTAAAGAACTGTGGTGATTTTGTGCATTTTCAAATTGTTGAGAGGAACATACTGGAGGAGATGATCAAAATCATAAGGAAGAAGGTATGGTGGTTTTAGTGGGAAACTTCTTGGATTAGCTTTTGTATTTCATGCTTGCAAGAAATTGTTATTGCATTCTTCATGAAAATGTGTGGTTATAAACAAGGTCAGATCGTTATGACTAAACCTCTATCATTGTTGTTTAAAGGGAGAATTCCTCTAGAATGTAGAGAGAAGTTTACATCCATTACAGGTGCACTGTTTGTATAATTCATAAGGTGACATTTTCTGAAATAATTGATTAATACTTCTATTTGATTAAGCTATCAAATCTTTTCATTCATCATTCTTCCTTTTTTGTAAAATTGTATCAATTCTTTTCTGTCAAATGTATAATAATTAATCAAGTCTTCTGTTTGATAAGGTGATACACCCTGCTCTTACTTATCAAAAAAATCTTAATATTTAGGTTTAAACCATTTAGTTGTCCATATTTATTATGTGACTTTTTCCCAGTTTGATCCCCTTCTTATTAGAATTTTCAATTGAGTCCTTATAAGTGTTAATTTGAATTAATTGAGTCCCTGCCGTTAAATTTTTAAGACGTGGCATAGTTTAGGCTTGCATGGAATTTTGGTAAAATGTAATAATATAATATTAGGATTTCTTAAATGAGATTTAGGGTTCAATTAAATTGAATGGGATTAAAAATCTGAGAAGTGGTTGTAGATCAGACGAAGGGATGGAGATTAAGTGGTTGTAGATCTGAGAAATGGTTGTTGATCAAATCCACCCCAATTGCATTTCAGCAAATTGGGGAAAATTGTTCCTGCTTCTACGCCGCGAAGGGGAGATAGTGATTACCGCNTGAAGCCTGAACCTGTGACTGTGGACTTTGTTGAGTATGAAACGAAGAAGATGTAGGGTCCCTGGCCTTATCTTCAGCACGTGCCAATACATTGTGACGGAGCAAAGTGAGAATTGTACCCGTGAATCTGATTATGCCAGAAGAAGAGCCAAAGAAGGGTGAAGGTTCAACAGTGCATAGACCATGGAGGGGAAGTTTGGCCACGGTGCTGCTAGAGGGCGTGGAGGACAGAAACAAGAAGCTTCTAGGTCGCAGTAGAGGACGAAATTAAGTTTAACTTGGAAAATAAAACAATTAACGTGGCACGACAGCTGGCATCAAAACTCACCTAGCCGTTTGCCACATCTACTAAAACTTAACGTCATTCATTTTTAAGGACTAATACTAAGAGTTTCAAAACTACGAGAACTAAAAACCATCAAAGTTTTGAGTAGGAACTAAAACCAAAATAGTGTGATATTTAAGGGACAAAAAACATATTTAAACATTTTTTCGTCTATTCTTCTTCTTGCTTTGAATCCAAGAAAAAGAGAAACCTAAAGAAGATAACTTGGGAGAGTGCGAGATAATAAAGAAGGAATCTGAATATAAGCAGCGTTTTAGTAATATGAAACGATGCATGAGATGGTCGTGTACCTCGTGAAGATTTCTCAGAGCTGCTTATTCTTTCGTAAAATCACAACATTCGCACAATTATGGTTCTTGTTCTTGAGGAAAAACAATTCCTTTTACACCTAAATGTTCTTAATACTTCGGTTTAGTGCATCCACTCTTGAAGTTTCGGCAGCAATGGATGCTTTACAAACTAGTGCTGAGAGCTATCATGAGCAACCTCAGTGGCGCAAAAAGGAAACCCAGATTGAAATTTGCTTTTCATCATCACGTGCCACGTGGCGCGTGGATTACACATGCTTAGGAGAGCGAATGCGCCTATCAAACCGCACAAAACTCGCGACGATATTTCCGATTGTTGTTTTGATTATTCTTCTCAAATTGTGTTAGGACTCCGTAGTTTTGCACTCTTCCTAACAATCGTTGCGGTGTTTTGTCGATTAATTTTCCTGGAATGTTGTCCTGTCTTTTGGTTTCTGAGTTTTGGGTCGTTTAATCCAGAGTTGATTTTGGTGTTCCTTGAAGAAGTTTCAGAAAAGAGAGGGGGGAAGAAATATGATGAATTCTTATTCTTCTTCTTCAGCTACTGTCGCAGTGGAGAAGGCGACCAGCGATCTTCTTGTGAGCCCTGATTGGACCATGAACATCGAAATTTGTGATTCCATCGATTCTAATCATTGGTAATCTTCAACTACAAGAAAATGGAGGAAGATAGATAACATATCAATTTAGACATTATGTTTTATTTTATTTTATTTTGGAGGCGTTGACTTTGACCAACTACCACATGTTTAAGCATTTTTAATACGATGTTCAATTTAATGTTTGTAGGTTCTGTCCTCGGATGTTGTCGTTGGTGATTGTAGTTAGTAATTTTTGGTGTGATGAAACTGACAGGAGCAGCATTGTATTATTTGGAAATTAGTGGAAAACTACTTGTTCTTCTTTTCATATTATATTAATTTTTTTGTTTTTTTTTATTTCAATTCTGTGATTTCTAATTTTCTTATGCATAAATATTGTTTCCAAAATTGAACAATTATTTTATGTCTAAGCATCCTCTCAGAAAAACCAGGCTCCATGTATGATAATACAAACTATACTTCTTTCTCATTTTCTTTTCACTCCTTTAATAGAGTAATCTCTGGGAAATTGACGCCTTTCTTTTAAGCTTTTACTAAATCTTCGATGAATACCACGTGCTTAATTTCTCAGGCAGCCAAAAGATGTTGTAAAAGCTGTAAAGAGGAGATTACAACATAGGAGCTCTAGAGTTCAATTACTAGCTCTCACGGTACTTTGTTGGCACTGGCTTTTGGTCTTATTTTTGGGTATTTGGCTCTAGTTGTTTGTGGATGTGTGCTCCTGGATTGATTAACTTTCAAATTCATTTGTTTGGAGCTTGATTTGTGGTTTCTGGTTGTCTACCCCCAGCTGCTGGAGACAATGGTAAAGAACTGTGGTGATTTTGTGCATTTTCAAATTGTTGAGAGGAACATACTGGAGGAGATAATCAAAATCATAAGGAAGAAGGTATGGTGGTTTTAGTGGGAAACTTCTTGGATTAGCTTTTGTATTTCATGCTTGCAAGAAATTGTTATTGCATTCTTCATGAAAATGTGTGGTTATAAACAAGGTCAGATCGTTATGACTAAACCTCTATCATTGTTGTTTAAAGGGAGAATTCCTCTAGAATGTAGAGAGAAGTTTACATCCATTACAGGTGCACTGTTTGTATAATTCATAAGGTGACATTTTCTGAAATAATTGATTAATACTTCTATTTGATTAAGCTATCAAATCTTTTCATTCATCATTCTTCCTTTTTTGTAAAATTGTATCAATTCTTTTCTGTCAAATGTATAATAATTAATCAAGTCTTCTGTTTGATAAGGTGATACACCCTGCTCTTACTTATCAAAAAAATCTTAATATTTAGGTTTAAACCATTTAATTGTCCATATTTATTATGTGACTTTTTCCCAGTTTGATCCCCTTCTTATTAGAATTTTCAATTGAGTCCTTATAAGTGTTAATTTGAATTAATTGAGACCCTGCCGTTAAATTTTTAAGACGTGGCATAGTTTAGGCTTGCATGGAATTTTGGTAAAATGTAATAATATAATATTAGGATTTCTAAAATGAGATTTAGGGTTCAATTAAATTGAATGGGATTAAAAATCTGAGAAGTGGTTGTAGATCAGACGAAGGGATGGAGATTAAGTGGTTGTAGATCTGAGAAATGGTTGTTGATCAAATCCACCCCAATTGCATTTCAGCAAAATGGGGAAAATTGTTCCTGCTTCTACGCCGCGAAGGGGAGATAGTGATTACCGCGACGTGGGTTTCGAAATCTCTGGAGGAGGAAGAAGATGGAAGCGGTGGCGCGATTCTGAGAAGTGGTTTCTTGCAGGGTTTGCGTCACGATCTATGGAGAAGAAGTTCTTGGTGGTTACGACGATTCTGGCTTTTCTGGATCTGCAAGTGAAGGTGGCGCGATGTAGGCTGATGCGATTCTGGGTTGTGCGACAGTGATGGAGGAGAAGACTCGCGATTTAAGGGAGAGTGGCGGTTTGGTTTTATTTTATTTTTTTTTTTTGCTTTTTCTGTATTTTGGGAATTACAGGTGAAAGAAGGAGATCGCACGAGGAGATTCACGGTGGTGCTCTGGATGCTGTTTTGGGTTTTTCTGGGCTGGGTTTTTATTGGGAATATCAGCAAAGTCTAAGTCTATTAGATTCTTTTCAGATATCAATCTCCTTTCTTCTTCTAGCAATAAGATTCTCCAACTGCGTGTTCCTTTCCAGCTCTAAATTTCCCAGATCCATGAGGTTCTTTTGGTCATCCTTTGTCCATTTAATGACAGATTTACTTTAATCTTCTTTGCCACCTGTAGCTTCTTATGAACCCTAAATCCCATTTCAGAAATTCATATTATTAAAATTTAAAAAGTTGCTAAATTCCACGTATTCAACTCTCAATATGTCACGTTTTAAAAATTTGACAAATCAATGTTTCACCTATGCAAAAACTTAACCCCGTTATCTAAATTTAACGGCAGGGGCTCAATTGATTCAAATTAGCACTTATAAGGACTAAATGAGGGATTCTAATAAGAAGGGGATCAAACTGGAAAAAACCCACATAAATAGGGACAACTAAAGGGTTTAAACCTAATATTTACTGATCAAAATATGGATGGGTTCTATATTAAATTACTACTATTTCCAGCAAACTATTTTTTTTTTATTTGATTTGTCTCGTCTGACATGAAACACATGTAATTATAATTTAGGAAGGTATGCAAGTGAGGGATAAAATCTTAATATTGCTGGACTCATGGCAAGAGGCATTCGGGGGATCAGGTGGTAAACATCCTCAGTACTGTCGGGCATGTAAGGAGTTAAAGGTAGCTGTCTACTTGATAAAATTTCTTGATCGGTTTTTATCCAACTCTTTGTTGATAATTTCATGTGCAGAGTGGGATGCTAGATTTTCAAAATAATATTCGTGACTTTTGTCAATACTCTTTAAATGATAGACAATCTGATTCATCTTATGGGTGAGGTTACAAATTTTAAGAAGACACTTTTACTTCTTATTGTGACATGTACACAAATTTGTTGTTTGTAAGTAAATGTGTCGCATCAAAATAACTCCGAAGTTTTGCTAAAAGTTTCCTAAGTGTTGCAATTCTTTAGTGAGAAATGGGTGAATTTTAACTTTTTAAGGTTCAAAACACTTAATTTTATCATCACCTCCGCGTGGAGAATTGTCCCCTGGCAAAACCCAACCATCATCCCGTTTGTTGCAAATTTACATTTTAAGGATTGAATTGATATCTGTAAGCCATAGCCACATGCGAGTTGTAATTCAATGACCATCAGATTATATCATCGGCATAGTGTGTTGGATTATATGAATGTCAGCAATATGGAGTAGTTTTTCCAAAGCCCACACCGGATGCAGCTGCAATATTTACTCCTCCTTCTACCCATCCAACTTCAAGAAATATGCCAGCTGGATATTGGATGGCAAGCAATTCATCAAAAACACTGGATGAAACTATGGCAACAGAGATAGAAAGTTTAAGGTTAATCTCGGCTTCCTTTTTTGACCCTTGCTTCCTCTGTCCATCCTTTGTGTCAACTTTTGTGTTGCCAAATCTGTATTTTAGCTAACTGGTCTTGAGATATTCAGTATGTCAAGCTTGGACTCCATGCGATATGCTTTGGATCTTTTGAGTGACATGTTGCAGGCTGCAAATCCTAGTGATCGTGCAGTAAGTTATACTGTTTTGCTTGGCATTCTGAAATCTCCTGTCTGCTAAGTGAAAATGATTTAGTGTCTGGTTTTATGCTTTATAGGCTGTAAAAGAAGAAGTAATTATTGATCTTGTCGATCGCTGTCGCACAAACCAGAAAAAGTTGATGCAGATGCTAACAACAACTGGGTTAGTTCCACACGTCTTTTCCTTCTGGCACATACTCTCTTGTCGAAAAAGTTGATGCAGATGCAGTTATTGAAGCACGTTTTTCTTTTCAGTCTTTCTTGCTTATAACTTGTCGAAAAAATAAACTAGTTTAGAATGTCGATTTAGGTCTTTCATGTATAACATGGTAAGTGAATCATCTACCCTCTGTTTGATAAAGTCAAAATCGTTGTATTAAGCATTTAATTTCGTTTTATACTTCCACTCATGTTATTTTATTCCTTCCTTTAACTAATTTTTTTATCATAGAATATCAACATGTATTGCAGGTCATGGGTAACGAAACTGTTCTCTCAGTAACTTTTTATTCAATGTGAACTCTTTACTACTATTTCAGGCCTTCTAAGGCACAGCCAACGACTGAAAATGCTACAACTGGTTCCAGCGAAAATTCAGTGTCAATTAACACTAACAGCAAAACTCCACATCTTCCAAACTCCTCAACCTCTGTCCCATCCAACGCATTAGTTCTTTCTAACCCACCTGCCTCAGTTAGTACTGCAAAGGATCAGGAGATTATTGATTTACTGAGTATCACTTTGTCCACGTCGCCATCACTGCAGACAACATACGCACCATCAGCCTCTAGCCAAGGCATGCATCAGATTCCTGTTCAGTCCAGAACAGAAGGGCTTTCTCATGCTTCCCAAAAATATCTGGGAAATTTTCCGTACAACAGTTACGTTGTCCCTTGGGCTCAGAATCAATCTCAGTCAGAATTTCAAACCCTGCCTCAAGAACAAACGTATCAATGCCAATCTCAAACCCCATCCCCACCCTCCTCTCGACATACACATTATGAAGCCCAACAACACCATCATCAACCCGCCCAACAGGAGCAATTGCAATCACAAACCCTACCAGAACCCCAACATGTATTTCAACAACCTCAATATCATCATCAATATAGCCCTCATCAACAACATTTGCAACCCCCTAGTGAACCGCAACCACTACAGTATCAGCCACAGTACCAAACACCCGAACCCCGTTCACAGTGCCATCCTCAACCCCAGCTACAGTATCAGCCTCAAACCATGCATGGCCATCAACCTCAGCCACAGCAACAATTTCAGAATCAACATCTTCAATACCCTTCAAGATATCCTCCCCCGCCATGGGCAGCTACACCTGGATATGCCAACTATCAAAATCACTCGCCTGCTGCAAATGTGATTTCAACAGAAGCCAATACAACAGTATCTTATTCTTCTGCTCCAGGGGTAATGCCCGTGCTACACAATAATTCATTCCCTGACAGAGTAGGTACCGGTGGAACTCCAGAGAGTGCAACAGGACAAAAGACTTTTGTTCCGTCTCACAGGTTATTTGAAGATTTGAATGTTTTCGGAGACACAAATGGAAAGGTTAAGATGACCAGCAGCTGTGGTTCGTCATCCAACTTGTCTGGGACAATGGGACCTGGTATGGTTGGGGGTCGTAAGTGAAAATATGGGACCGGCAGTATTGGTTGCAGCTTGTGGAAGTTCTAGATTGATACAAGTGACTCTTCCTATTTTATGTGTAACAGACCATAAGACGACAGACTTTGAACATTATTTGATGTAATATTTTAGTTTTTGGTAGTGGTTCTCGTTCGTTCATCGATTGATCGCTGACCACTATAAAGGTACTTGATATTCATAAACGTGTTCAATGTCCTTAATTGTTGACAACATACGCCCTTGTAAAATATCCCGTGAAGGGAGCTTCTTCCTGCACTGTCACAAATTCATTTCGATTGTCCTTAATTTTACAATTTTGAAGTCAAATAACAAATGACTTTAAAATTGTATAATCCAAAAGTAAAAGAGGTGATATTTAGATTGTACAATTGGGAATTCTTTATTTTAAAATAAGATTTTTTAATTATGTAATTTGGAAAACATAATTTAGATTGTGGAATTTGAAAGTTATTTTTTCTTATTATTTTTTTTCAGAGTTAATTTTTACTAGTATAATTCAAAAATATTTTTTTTGGAGAAAAAAAACATTTTAAATTGTTAAAAAATTATATAATCTGAAAATTATTTTTAACTTGTAGATTCAACAATCTAAACTATTTTTTAGTGGTTAAAATGACTTCTGAATTGTAAAATTCAAAAGTCAAAAATAAAATCTGAATTATATAATCCAGATAACCTTTAGATTGCATGATATAAAGATTATTTTTAACTTCTCAATTACACAACACGAAAATAAAGCATGTCAGAATAGGAGGAAACATGGGACGTGCAAGAAGAAACTGCCTCCCATCAAATCACACGACTTTTCCTTATTTGTTTTGATCGGGTCATTTTTATTTTATTGGAAACTTTAGATGTCGAAAATCACTTCCCCTTGTTACGGCAAAACCACTAGAATCAGCTTACTGAAAATTCTAGCTAATATTCGTTATTGTTGTCATGGTACAAAGATAAAATTGCGAAAACCCAGATTTAGGTTAAGAAAAGAAATTGCACACTTGGACAAACTTGAATTTAATTACACGTTGGTTAAAAACAAGGGTCCCCCAATTCAACGGAAACTACAATCATGAGTGAGATGCCCCATTTCCAGGACCACATTTGTCAGCAAACTAGCTTATGTAATCTGACAAAAAAATTTACAAAAGGTGGGAATAGCACGCAAAACAGGAATAGAAAATAATTATGGAGAAAATGATATTTACACACATTTACGACGATTGACATTATTTGCCGAAGCCTCCAATCAATAAGCATGATTTTCTTCCAGTCGAGTGCAACCCTCTAACCATGGAGGCTAATGAATATCTTGCATACACTATCAGCAGAATATACCCCTACCAATATTTTCAGATGTATTCACAGCGGAGAGGGATTAAAGCATCATGACAGGATTACCCAACTGCAAGAAATATGCGTGGCGTTCCTGAGTGATGTTTGATGCACTCTTCTGAGCTGGAGACAACCGATGAAATCATGGGAAAAAAATGCAGATTCATCTTGCTTGAGTGTTGTCGTCAGCATAGATACAAACGCATGCATCTGCAGCACCAGCAGCAAGTAACACCTGGTATGGATGGAAATTTAGACAACTTACAGAACCAATTTTCTGGGCCATTAGTGTAGGATAGTAACGAATGGTGCCTAGTTGATCACCCTCCAGACTAAAAACTTTAATGAGTTGTTTCGCTGAACCACTAGCAATAATTGGAGCATGTCTATGTACAGCTAATGCTGTGAGTGATCCCCTATGAGCTTCGATTGTAAGATAGGTGCTCCTAACATTTCTTATATCAAGAAATTGGATGTCCCCAGCCTGAGAAGCACTGATAATCTGAAGAAAACCAACAGTGTGACATAATTGATTAATCAACTTCAAATCAAATTCACAAATTTAAGAATGACAACTCAAAAGAAAAAACATATCAAACTATGAAGATGCTCTTTTTACCTTTCCTTGGTCTAATCCAGGTTGAAAGCCAATCCCCACAACTTTTTCTACTCTTTGCGTATGAGGTCTTAACTCACAGACGAGCCTAAGAAGCATTATTGCCATTAGTGATTACAGAGACAGAGACTTCTAAATTGGACCTTAAAAGCTTTATACTTACGATAAAACTTAAAACACTAGTATTGATTGAGGAAATTAAATCATAAATTCATTATTAGATGCATGCATGACCATATCAAAACATGTAGGTGATAAACAACAATGATGCTGGATTCAATCACATCAATAAAAGTTAACAAAGAACCATGCTATTATTTGCATCATGATGGAAGAAATTCATCTGAGGTGCTTACATTTCAGGTATTCTGACATCATAAAGTCTGACAGAACCATCAACAAAACCAGCAGCAAAATGTCCCCCGTGAACTTGAGATGCAGCCTGAACCACATGACAAAATGTGTAAAAATCAAAGGACAATTGCTTTGTTACGTAGTTAAGGAACGAGTAAAATAATACTAAAAGGGGGCAGTCATGATTGATGATTCGTGCATATCATCAATATGGGGAATCAATATCGGTTAGGTTTAATTATTATTTAATGTTTGACAAAACTTGAGAATAGTGAAAATAACACTAGCCCTTAGCAGATTCGGGGGCGGCCACTGCATTATTATTTGAGATAGACAACTATCTATGGCAAAGGCAAATACAATAAGATCAACAAAGGTGCTTCAGTCTTCACGTTCAAAAACAATCATGTACCTTGAAGAGGCCCCAGAAAAAAGGGCACGGGGGCATTTCAACAGTAAGAAGCCATCGATCATTATTAAAAAAAAAGGCTTTATAAAACACGACTTATCAGTAAAGAAACCTGTTCTAAATGAGGTTGGCAAGCAAAAACTCACGAATTCAGCTCAATTACCTTGGAAAATTTAGTAAATCCTCATAAGGTAAAACAACTGCTTAACTGTCTATATCAAGCAAAATTACTGACAAAGCATTCTCGCATAGCTGAAGCTTACCAACGCTGAGACACTGCAATCTGATGATGAAGGTATAGTATTAACAAGCTGCTCTTTATCAACATCCCATAACAAAGTAGATGATATCTCACCCGATGCATACTGTTAAATGTAAAAATGTAACAAAGAACACCATAAGAAAATCATTAGCTTCACAATACGAGGAAATAATTAGATATTCAATTTAACACATGGGGGAAGAGAAATATTTCCAACACTTCCAAGAATGATTAAAAAAATAATCTTACCAGATAACCACATTGTTGTTGCCAATCAACAACTGCATTGAGACTCCTCACACCAGGTTTATGACCATGAATTGAAGAGAATGCAGTGACAAGTTTTTGTTTACCCTTCAGAGTATAATCTTTCCAAATCCGTATGTTTCCATCAGCTGTACCATAAGATTCACCGATAAGATTAAAGTACTAACAAGTAGAGAATGAAATGTATAATAATATTAAACAGGCGAGAAAAGTACATGAAGCAGCAAGGAGCAAACTATCATCAAGCTCATTTACAAGGCAGAGCTTAGAAATCCCTTTGTCAGGAAAATCATGATTATCAAAACTGTTAAGCAGTGCTGCCTCCTCATGGTTCCATATCCTGCAGAGAACTCCAAAGATCATTATACTCTAACCAGGTTAAAAGTCTGAATTCCTACTGTGTATAAATTATGCTAGGTAATTGTCATTCAGTTGTCAAGTCCTCATAACTAATAAACGTCACTCAGTCTTCCAAGTGCTACCAACCCTGAATATATTTGGAAATATATTACTTCTAGAAATTCACCACAGATGATTTTTATAGGCCTGTAAACAATTGTCCTAACATTACCTAAACTAAAAAAACTATGCCCAGCTTCATAACAGTCCCAGTTTAACTTATAAAGTTATGGATTAGCTTCACATACCTGATACGTTCATTCTCATCAGCAGCTATTACTATAGGGGAGAAAGGTTGCAGCAATGCTGTTTGTGTACCCTTGATGTCCCACTTAGCAATTGGATTTGTAAGCCTGCTAACATCTGCAACGAAAAAATAGAATGTCAGCCATACATCTGTAAGCAACACACCTAATAAAAATAAAAAGAGAAATCCAAACCAGAGTGCTGGCATTTTGCTATGTGCTCCAGTGCAAGCTTTTCCTTCTCCTCTCTTCTGGCCGATACTTCTTCACTATCATCTGCAGCAGTTAATAGTGGTTTGGAAAAGTGCCCACAACTCCAACTATAGATAGTTGACTGTGGAAGAAAGCTTCTATCTGAAGTTCCAGAAGCTCCACCAGAACCTAAAAGTGGATCAGCCAATCCAGAGTCCGGAGAATTCATTAGGTGGGGCCTAAACTCCAATGAACAGACTCTACGCATTCCAGTTATATAACTTGGGCGAGGAGGACTGACCGGAGGAGTTCTGAAGGTCAGTGGTAAATGTCCTGTCAGAGCAACAAGCAATAATTAGCAGAAAGGCTTGCAACAATGCAGCAGGGATTATAACAAATAAAATTGGAGATAAACTTCATGAAACTGCTTTGGAAGTTATTATCCAAGAGGATCAACCATTAAGTAAAACTAAAAAAGAGATCTACCTCCATTCATATCAAACCAAGATGAGGATCGAGCCAGTCCAGCAAGAGCTGGAGAAGCTGTAGATTCAGCAGTTCGAACACCACTAGACTTCATTGGTTTTGCAACCACTTGTTCAATACCTATGATGGACAGTACTCGACGACCAAGATTTGCAATGCGTGGAGATGGATCTTTGGCTAAAGTACACATAGCAAGTACACATTGTGAATACAATGCATTGTCCAAGGGCTTTGGTCCAGTGTGGTTAACCACTCCATTGCTGAAACCATCATTTAGAATTCCTGAATCAGAATGATGAGATGAATCATCAGACAATGGGGACCCATGCATGATTCCCGAACTAGTAAGAGGACTGCTAGAAGAGACCCGTCCATCTCGAACCACAGGAGAATTGTCACTTCCAACCCTGATAGGACCAATTTGAGGGGAAACAATACTTCCATGAGGTATATGTTGGTTCTGTTTAGGATATCCACCAACTGAACCTTTTATATTAGCCAATGAAGGTAAGGAATTAATCAAAGAATTAGGTTGGGGCTTCCAATATGCAGCAGCAATAGACTTCAGGTGCTTGTTGTGGCCAAAAGCAAATCGTGCTAAAGCTGACAGTTGAAAAAAAAAAAGTCAGCAACATGCCTCAGATCCATTTCTAAAGTATAGCAGCTCTCCTATACTCTATTG